TGGGGCATCTCAGGAAGAGTGAGGGCAACAAGTCACCCCTCAGGGATCCTCACCTGCCTTCCCATGTACCCAGGCCCCAGGCCAACCCTTCCTGCAGAGAAGAGTGGAGCTTCTGTATTAAATGAGCTCTCAGGGGCCATTGACTTATGGAAGAGGGCCCCTGACTTGGCAGAGAGAAGATGGGAGGCTGTAGAACATCGGATAAATGTCAATAAATAAGTCAGAAAAGATGACATCGTGCTATGCGGTGGTTTGTTTGGTAGTTGGATTTCTTGGATAATAAAAGGTCGTTAATCACTGCAGATTGGCTTTCTCTTTCCTCAGGACTGTGTAGCGGCTCTGCCACTGCCCACTGTCAGCTCTGGCTTTCTCCTCATGGCCAAGTCCCAGGAGTCCTCCAAAGAAGTATTTGCTTGAGGACAGGAGGCAAGGTTTCCTAATTTGCTATTTGGCAATTTAGGCAGATAAGGCAAAGCCTGGGGCTTGCTAGGCTGGAAATCTGGAGGGATCTGCTTTGTTTTTGTTTTGTTGTTATTTATGGGATTGAACTCAGGGCCTCTGCTTTCCTGAGGTGGCACTAGACCACGTGAGCCACACCCCTAGCCCTAGGGATTCTGTTCTTGAAACTATGGCTGCCTTCAAGAAATCCCTGAGAAGGGAGGAGCCTGAAGAGGAAGGGCCCCTGGCACTTTAGTGCAGGTTTGGCTGGCACTGCCTGACCCAGCCAGCCACCAGCCATACTTATTAACTAACTTGCGGATGAGGGCAGGGCTGTTGGACTGTTGAAAAGGACTCATCTGCCCCTTTGTTTCCCTTGCCTGCCTGCCTGCTGGATTGTGAACCTAGATGAACTCAATCCTTCCCTCTCTTCCTCCCTCTTCCTACTCTTGGCTCTTTGCCAGAAAGGCCCAGGGAGTGCTTCCTCTTCCTCTTGGCATCCCTTACAAAAGTCACCAGGCCTGTTTTCCCATAGCATCCTGGTTTCAGACATTGTCTGAAATAACTTTATTGTGAGATAAAATAACAAAAGTTAATGTTGGAGCTTGCTTACAGTGTGCTGGACCCACATGGTAAATGCTTCATGCTTATTATGTGATTAATCTCCAAACCATTCTACTATTAATATGTCTATTTATATATATGTATATACATATACATTATTATTAATATATCTATTACTGGGGTGTAGCTGAGTGCTCACATCTGTAATCCTAGCTACTCAGGAGCCTGAGATCTGAGAATCATGGTTCAAAGCTAGTCCAGGCAGAAAATGTCCATGAGACTCTTATTTCCAACAAGTGGTGGAGTGCCAACTTGAACAAAATTGCCAAGCAAGAGCATAGGCCTTGAGTTCAAGTCCTAGACCAGCATACATGTACACACATGTGTGTACAGAGCCAGGGTGCCTGGTCAAGACCATCTGACTACGGTTCCTGACCTTGAACTGCCCTTATCCTAGTACTTGGGAATCCTTCTGAAAAGATGCCCTCTTAAGCTTGGAAGGGAACTAGAGAGTATTCACCCTAGGCAGGATATTAACAGTTAATAGTCTTTCCCTTGAGCCCGGAATGCTCAATTCAATTCCAGTTCGATCCTTCTGTGTTTTTTGTTTGTTTGTTTTGCTGGTCATGGGGACTGAACTCTGGGTCTGGGTGCTATCCCTCAGCTCAAGGCTAGCACTCTACCACCTGAGCCACAGCGCCACTTCCAGCTTTTTCTGCTTATGTGTAGCTGAGGAATCAAACCCAGGGCCTCATGTGTACAAGGCAAGCACTCTACCACTGAGCCACCTTCCCAGTCCCCCTTCTGTGTTTTACACTCCTAAATTTGAGAGTGACTGAAAAAGCACAAGAGGTTCCTTCAATGGAAAAGTCCTTCCTGCTAACTCAGTTGTACTGAGATTTTAGAAGATTGCTGGGGCAGATTGCTATCGGCCTAGTGTAGGATTATTTTTGAAACCCAGGGTCCTCTGAGAGTACCCCTGCCCCTGACATGATATTACACCATACCCTGAATCTTTGAACATGTGTCTCCCAGTGTCAGCTCTATGATGCTACAGTGAAAATGAGGAGAATTGGGCCTTGAAGTGGCCCAGATGCCTGTGGCCAATGGAACTGGGGTGTAACTGAGCATGGAACTAATTCCAAAGCTGTCCTGCAGCGCCCTCTCCTGGAAAAAGGCAGTAGTATCTTCCAGGACCTGTTTTCTAAATCTCCAGTGAAGTTTTTCAGGCCAGTAAAAACTGTAGATTTTTCCCTTTAAGACAGCAACCGACAAGAACTTCTAATAGGGCTAGGACTGTAACTTAGTGGTAAAGTTTTTGCCACCATCCCACTTGTGAACCTTCATGTTCCCTTGAATCATGCTGCCTAAGAATCCTCTCCCACTTAGAGTTGGCTTCTAGGAGTTGCAATGAGGTTCCTTTGTGTGATTCCTCCCATGCACCCTGCTTCTGTCCACAGGTAACAAGTCCTAGTGATGGTTCTCTGATCATTTCTTACACTATCACCAAGGGAAGATCAGTGCTGACCTTGCCTACAACTCTAGCCCCAAAGACCAGTGAGAGGGCATGTCATCCTTTTGGATTCAGGCATTGGCAGAACTTAAGTGAGAGCAAAGGTACCAGAGCCTCAGGATGTGGTCAATTGCAAGACTGTTTCTCTACAGGCCTCTGCTTCTCCAGTTGTAAATTGAGATCAGTCTCAATCTAGCTCTGAAACAGCATCACCTGGTGTGGGCAAATCAGTGCCCAGAAAAACCTGTAGGCAGAAAAGAATATGCTAACCACCTGGCTTGTGTATAGTCTTTTAAAGTTTTTTGCTGGTGTTGGAGCTTGTACTTGGCCTGGGTGCTACTCCTTAGCTTTTCTGTTCAAGGCTGGTGCTTTACCACCTGAGCCACAACTATATTTCTGGCCTTGTTTTTGTGTGTATGCCAGTCTTGGAGTTTGAACTAAGGGCCTAGGCACTGTCTCTGAGCTTCTTTTGCTCAAGACTAGCACTCTACTACTTGAGCCACAGGCTACACTTCTGCTTTTTTGGTAGCTTATTGAAGATAAAAGACTCATAGAGGGCTGGGAAGGTGGCTCAGTGGTAGAGCACTTGCCTTGCATGCTTAAGGCCCTGGGTTCGATTCCTCAGCACCACATAAGCAAAAAGAAAAAAAGCTGGAAGTGGCACTGTGGCTCAAGTGGTAGAGCGCTAGCCTTGAGCTGAAGAGCTGAGGGACAGCATCCAGGCCCAGAGTTCAGGCCCCACGACCGGACCCAAAAGAAAAAAAAAAGACTCATAGACTTTCCTGCCCAGGCTGGCTTCGGTCTGCAATCCTCAAAACAGTTGTGAGCCACCTGCATCCAGTGTTGCCTGTTGTCTTACCATGTCCAAGTGAACATCCAAGTGACCCCTCAAAGGAGAATGTGGCTCAGGGTGATGTCAGGAAAGGCACCATGCCTATTCTGCTTCTTTTCCCTGGGCCTGCCCGCTCTGATGACCATACAAGGCCATTATTCCAGGGGTCCTGCATATAGTTCCAACTACTCAGAGTTGGACTTGTCCTATCTGCAGCCTCCTCCATCCTTCACCTGGTTCTCCCTGCCTTGGGACCTTTGGTGAAGCCCATTACTAGGTAGATGTGTTACAGGATATGTGACATTGAGGAATTCAGTCATGAAAACAGCTACAACCCACAGTGGTAATAGGATACAGATGCTACAGTGTAACACAACAGTGGCTGCAGGACTCAGCAGGTAAAAGGTACCTGAGTTGTCAAAGGTACAGGTGCAGTAGCCAGGGAGAGGGGTGAAGGAAGGAAAGCATTTTAGGTAGGGAAAGCCCCATGGTTAGAAAAAAAGTAATACAAGGTGTGGCTGGTTAGGGAGTCACAGGCAGCCATTAGGAAGTTCCAAGGCAGCTGAGACAAGAGGAGCAGGGTGCTAGAGGGTCAGTGACCCATCAGAGGTGCAGGTGTGAATGTGGAAGGGTCACTGCATGGGTCTATGGGTGACCCCCACAGAGATGACAGTAGCCTGGGTCCTGAACATGGGATCTAAGAGGGTGGGTAGATTCACTGGTCTTGATGCAGATTCCCTAGTAGCAGTGAGGAACAAAGGCCAGGATGTGGTCTGAGGTGAGGCCCAGCATTTTGGCTTGAACAGTTTGCATAGATAGGAGAAATGATCTATTTAATGTGGAATAGCTCATGTTTGAAGTATTTGCAGAACACACAGAAGGATTTGTGTCCACAACAGCTAGCACTGCATGGCTCTTCCTAGAGACCCCTCAGGGCTGGCCACAGAGCTCCAAGGGATGTGCTCACTGATTTCCCTTCCCCCACCAACCAAGACACTGATATCCGGTCACCAGGAGCCTCCTGTGGGCAAGGCCTCATCTAACTGGTATGGCAATGAGTGGAAAACATTGCACAACTCTCATTCTCAGGACAAGCAAAAGAACTTTGAGGATCCTAAGTGCTGATCCCCTTGGGGTGAGACCAGAGGTAGGTCAGTCATTCCCTAAAAGAGAGAGGGAGCAGGACCAAACATTTGCTTCCCATAGTCTTCTCTTTATCTAAAGATCTTTCTCCTTATTTCTCCCTTCATCCCTTGCAGTTAGGCCATTTGACCCTCAGCCTCACCTGGGGAGACTAAATACGCAGAAAAGGCCTCATGCCTGCTTCATGCCCACTTTGGACTCAGAACTGGGATGGTACCCAGGCATCTGTTATTTGTCACGGTCCTAACTTGGCCAATTGGTCTCAAACCTTGTATAGGTGAGTTCTCCACCCTTCTTCCCAACCTCTTTTCACAATTGAGGCATCGTATTTGGGGAGACATGGTCTTAGAAAAGGAAACATTTATTTCCAGTGAGCTCAAGATCTCAAATAGGGGCAGAGACCAAACTCCCGCTCCCACCCCCACTCCCCATCCACCTAATTGGCCTAGACCCATAGGCTACAGCCCTGGTTCCGGCCTGAGAGGAGGGAAGCCCCCTCTGTGGAGATGCTCACTTGTACTGAGGGGAGAGTGGGGGAACAAGGGGGGCAGCGCAGACACTCAGCATCTTGTCAATGTCCACCTGGGTTAACTTATCCATCTCAGCTTTGAGGCTGCCACTCACCCTCAGGCTGGACAGAACCCCAGGCTCCTCTCCTCCAGTCTTTTCTCCCAGGGGAGGTACCAGGGGGGGAACAAGAGCATGAGTAGGGGGCACTAACACATTGGGGCAGGAAGGCAAAGCAAGGCCTAAGCCCAGCTCACCTGCCATGGGCAGCAAGGCCTGAAGCTGCTCCACACCTGCCTCCTCAGGAACCAAGGCCAACTCCGACTCGGGCTCCACTTCAGTCTCCCCATCTCCCTCCCCTGCCTGGTTCAGCTCAGGGTTGCAGTAATTGATGTACTGGTACAGGGGTCGCAGGCGCTGGGCCTTTCCTGTAAGAACCCGTGGCAGAGCAAAGGCTGGAGCACCAGGCTGTACCCTATCAGGTTGAGCAGGTGGGGGAAGAAAGGAAGATCCAGGGACTGCCACTCACGCTCTAACCCCAAGGTCTCTGGGGGTGCAGATGCTGTGTTAGCTGTAACCGGGAGTACAGGAGCCCCCAGACTCTTGCGTTTCTTGGCTTTTTTGTGCTGTTTGGCTGATGGTGAGGGCTCCCTCTGGCTGCTCTCCTGTTCCTCCTTCTGCAGCCCCGGTGACAGTTCAGCTTCAACCCTAGGATGGAGTATGATGGCTAGAACTTGGGAAGGGCTGGGCTGTCTAAGCCAGGGACAAGAGGCTGGAGGAGACAGCCTGAAAGCTCTGGCTCCTGTGCCTTGAGCCTAGGGATTAGCCCTGCCATCCACCACCGCAGGCTTAGAGAGCTATCCCTTTACTGGTCAGCAAAACCCAAGGCCCAGTAGGGGCCCAATGCTCCTGTGAGCTCAGTCCTCTGGAAGCTCCATCTCTCTTGGTGTTCCTACACCAGGGCTCTTGAGAAACAGGATTAGAGACTGATGGTAGGGGCAGAGCATGAGAATCTGTCCTGCCGGTGTGGTGTTTACTATCTAGGGACTCCTGAGTCATGAAACCCTCCCTCTAGCCCTGCAATTCCTTCACTCTGAAAGCCCCCTCACTTGAAGGGTTTCCTCTTGGGCCCATGGCTGGGCCTGGGGGTGGAAGCCAAAGGCCTGGGGCCTCTCTCCTCTCCTGGTTCCGCCTTTGGACCAAGCCCCTCTTCCTCAGTCTTGAGACCTTCCTCCTGGAGCTCTGATTCACAGCTGTGCTCTGATGAACACTTGATTTCACTCGGGGTCCTGCTGGCATCCTGTGCTGGCACCAGGCGCTTGTCTTCCATCACTGGACACTGGAGATGATACATACATAATCAGTCACTATAGCCCGGCGAAGGATATAGCAATCAGTCAATCATTGGATGCCCAACATGGGCCACCAAATACAAGATAAAGCCCGCTAGCCCAGATAGAGCCCTCTCTGCCTGTAAGGCCTGGCCTGACAGGGAGTTGGATCACTCAGGGTTCAGGGTTCAGAGCTCCAAAAAGTTAGCAGGCCTGGGTCACCTCAGGGTTCTCCACGACCTGGGATGACCCCACGGTTGCCCCTTCCTGGGACCCTGGCTGTCTTTTGGCGCCGGTCGAGATCATGGCTACGCTGAGTTAGCTCATCCCTGGACAGCTGCTAGAAGAGGACTGGTCCAGAAGAAGCTTTACTAGTGGATTCTGTGTTGATAGGGGTTGCAGCTGAAAAGAGAAACTGGTGGTTGTTCCTCCAAAACCATCATCCAGAACTACAAGTCCCAGAAGTCTTTTCGAGATCATTGACCGCTGACCTCAGAGACGGAAGCCTTTGTTGCCTAGCAACAACAACTCCCGTCCGGTTGCAGCTGGCGGCAAAACTGCTGGAGTGAGATCTCCTGCCCCGGCGTTCTAGGGCGCGGGGCGGGCGAACCCCTCCGAGGAGTAGGCGAGGATAAGGGTGGTGGAAGCAGTGGGCGCAGGCCGGGTTTCAGGGCCCGACGGGAGACAGGGTGGGGCTAGGAAAAGGGGGCGCGGTCGGGCTGCGGAGTTTGAGCGGAGAGCGTGCGCGCGCGCGGGGCCGGGGAAGCGGGGCCGGGGCGAGAGATGCCCCGCGCGACGGGCGGCGGTGCACCGTTGTAGGACGACAACCGCAGCATGTGCGAGGGCCCTTCCCGCATCTCGGGGCCCATCCCCCCAGACCCTACGCTCTGCCCTGACTACTACAGGCGACCCGCCTCGGGTGAGTTGCTGGGGTGGGGTGGGGGAGCTCCCGCGGCGAGGCCCGAACCTTGTTCCCCCACCTGAGCCTCCAATTTCTCTCCTTCCTGCCTCTCAGCCCAAGGACGCCTTGAGGGAAACGCGCTGAAGATGGACCTGCTGACTTCATGCCGCGACCCAGACTTCAGCTCTACTCGTGGCCCCCGCACCAGGCCGGGAGCCCGAGAGATCCTGGAACGTGGCCAGCGCGGCGTGGGGGATGTGTTGCTGCAGCTAGGGGGCATCTCGCTCAGTCCAGGGGTCTCTTCCAAGAGTAAGTCCCCACCAGATGGGGCAGTGAGGCAGTTGGAAGTCAAAAGCCAAGATCAAAAGCGGTTATTCACGTATGTAATCCTAGCTACTCAGGGGGCTGAGATCTGAGGATTGCGCTGTTCCAAACTAACCAGGGCAGGGGAGTCCATGAGACTCTTATCCCCATTTAACCCACAAAAAGCCAGAAGTGCAGCTGAGGCTGTAATTATAGAGTACTAGCCTTGAGCACAAAAGTTCAGGGACAGCACTCAGACCCTGAATTCAAGTCCCATCACACACACACACACACACACACACACACACACACACACACACTCCTTCTTTTTTTGCCCTGAGCATAGGCTTTATCTCTGTGTCTCTCAGTACCTCCCATATAAAAGGAAAAGCAACTGTACTCCTCTCAGGAGGTGACTGAAGGACTGAATGAGATATTCTACCTTCATGCATTCATGCATCAGTGGAAGGTTTATTGCCCACTGTGTGTCAAGCCAGAAGTGCTAGGAAAACAGAATTAAAGACAAACTTAGGCCACCATCAGTTCCTGGTGGAAGCAATAAACAAGTGAAGACAGGATCATTAATATTAAACTTTCCTGTAAAAATGTAGAAAGTAATCAGGCGATACTTAGACATGAAAGGAAGGGAACAAGGTAATGTAGTTGTGTGTGTGTGTATTGTCGAACTTAGGTGAAGATGCCAGGGAGATCTTTTTATTGTTTCTGTGATTATGGGAATTAAACCCAAGGGCCTCACAGGGCATACAACCTATCACTTTCTGGGAGCCCTTTCTGGGAAGTGAGCCTGTGTATGATCTAGTATGAGTTGTGTTGCATAGGCCATATATGGGGCAAAGCCAGGCATCACTTTTTCCTCCAGGGAAGGATCCTAAAGACTATGAGAAGGAAAACCTGAGGCGAATCAAAGAAATTCAGAAGCGCTTCCGAGAGCAGGAACGCAACCGGGAACAGGGCCAGCCCAGGCCCCTGAAGGCACTGTGGCGCTCACCCAAGTATGATAAGGTGGAGTCCCGAGTCAAGACCCGAATGCAGGTACCTCTCCTAGGAAGCCAACAGGCATTTATAACCCATTTATGGGGGAAGGAACGAGGAAATCACAAGAGGCTCTAGTAACAAAAGGACTAAGAAGCTGGGCACTGGTGGCTCACACCTGTAATCCTAGCTACTCAGGAGGCTGAGATCTGAGGATCGCGGTTTAAAGCCAGCCTGGGCAGGAAAGTCCCTGAGACTCTTATTTCCAGTAAACCACCAGAAAACCAGAAGTGGTGTTGTGGCTCAAGTGGCAGAGCGCTTGCCTTGAGCTGAAGAGCTGAAGGACAGCACCCAAGCCCAGAGTTCAAGCCCCACAACCAACCAAAAAAGAAAAGAAAAAGGACTAGGAGACACTTGGCACTTCTGCAGAGGGATGTGGGATCCTTTTCAGAGGTGGTGATCACTGGGCCAATCCTGAGGAACAAATAAGAATTAGATAAAAGGAGAATGGAAGAGAGTATTCCATTGAGATGGAACCTCCCAGGTAGAAGTTCTGAGGCCAGAGTGAGTATGGGTAGTGGGGATACTAGGTAAGTTCACTGAAGAGCATGAGCGAAGAAAATCATGAGCTATTTGTACCCATATCTTAGAGATGACTAAATTATTTGTTAGCATTCTTTTTTGTTTTTGTCTGTTGTGGGCCTTGAATTCACAGCCTGGGCACTGTTTCTGAGCTTTTTCACTCAAGGCTGGTACTCTACCACTTTTGAGCCACAGTGCCATTTATGGTCTTCTGGTGGTTAATTGGAGATAAGAGTCTCACAGACTCCTGCCTGGGCTGGCTTTGTACCATGATCCTCAGATCTCAGCCTCCTGAGTAGCTACGATTATAGATATGAGCCACCAGTGGCTGACTTTATTTTTATGTTTTATTTGTGGTGCTAAGCATGCCTTTGCCATTGTGTCTTTTTTTTTTTTTGTCTTCAGACAAGGTCTTACTATGTAGCATAGCCTCAAACTTGAGCCTCAGCCTCTGAGTGCTAGGATTACAGGCAAGTGCCATAATTCCTGACAACACTTATTTCTGAGGACAGCTAAGGAGGGTAGGGGTGGGATTATGGTGGTGACATTGTCTTGGGTAGTCACCATTTCTTTATCCAGAAACCCAGAAAAAGGATCTGGATTGAGAGAAAAGACAAGGTCACATGAGGCTATACTGAGGGAGAAGCATCCGTGGAATGCCCAGGGGGTGGGAATATGTCCAGGAAGCAGATGGACACTTAGGCCTGAATCTCAGGCATGAGACCAAGAAGTTATTGACAAGCAGGTTGAGACCAAAGAACAGCCCTCTGGGTTTGTGGACCTGGAGGCCAGTCCTTAGTGACCTTGGGGAACTAAAGCTAGGAGGCTTGGCTAAGAAGAGCAGTAGCTGGGCCAGAACTGAGGCTGGTAGAGAGGTGCTTTGTTTTCTTAAAAAATGTGAGAGATGCCAGGCGCCGGTGGCTCACGCCTTTAATCCTAGCTATTCAGGAAGCTGAGATTTGAGGATCACGGTTCAAAGTCAGCCCGGGCAGGAAAGTCTGTGAGACTCTTATCTGCAATAAACCACTAGAAACGTGGAAGTGGTGCTGTGGCTCAAGTGGGAGAGCATTTGCCTTTTTGCTGAAGTGCTCAGAGACAGCGCCTAAGCCCAGAGTTCAAGCCCCACGACTGACAAAAAAAAAAAAAAAAAGTGAGAGATGTGTGTTTAAATGTTGATGAGGAGAAGTGCTCCCAAATCCATAGGATTTAGGATAGAAAAGTCCTTAAAGGCAGGAGAGACAGAGAGGCCTGGCCTGCTTGAGACCCAAACCTCAGCCTGATTCCTGTGCTGTACCCTGTCCTCCAGGAATCTGTCCAAACCTCTGTGCCACAGCCTGCCCACTTTCTGCGGGCACACTCCCGCTGTGGCCCTGGACTCCCGCCATCCCGTGTCCCTAGTCCCCAGCTCACTCTTCCAGGTCCCAAAGCAAAGGTGAGAAGACATTTGGGACTAGCAGGTGGTTGGGCAGGGATCCTGGGGGTTGGGGAGCATGGACAAAACACATGTCCCCTCCATTCTTGTTGTATCCTGCAGGGGCCAGACCTAGGTGTGGACTTCATTAGACACAATGCTCGAGCTGCCAAGAGGGCCCCCCGGCGCCATTCCCGCTCACTGCAAGTCCTCGCACAGGTTCTGGAGCAGAAACAGCAAGCCCAGGAACACTACAACACTACACAGAAGGGCCACGTGCCCCAGTAGTAGGTCCTATTGCCTGACAGCCAGGGAGAGGGGTGCTTGTAGTGGGAGCCGGTCTTTACCCTGGTGTCATCAACCCTGGGCTTGTGCATCTGCAGCTTGTTAGAACGCAGAGATCTATGGCGCCGGGAAGCTGAGGCCCGCCAGAATAACCAGCCAGACCCTGCCATGCCTCCTGGCCACACTCGCATGCCTGAGAGCCAGCGGCTGGAGACACTGAACAATCTTCTCCAGAGTGAGTACTTGGGCAGGGGTGTCTGGAGGGGAGCCCACTGGAGACCATTCACCCCTCCCAAGCACTCACTATTCCTGTAGGCCAGAGTCAGCTGCTACGTGAGCTGGTACTACTGCCTGCTGGCGCAGACTCACTAAGAGCCCAGAGTCACCGGGCTGAGCTGGACAGGAAGCTGGTGCAAATAGAAGAGGCCATCAAGATTTTTTCTCGACCCAAAGTGTTTGTGAAGATGGATACCTGAGCCTTTTGTGAGGGCCAGTGACAAAGAGATCCATGCTGACCTTCTCTACACAGAGCTGCACAGGGCAGGATCAAGCCCTACCAGGAGAAGTCAGAAGCAGTGGGGTGTACAGTATCCTCAGAGTAATCTTTCCAGTTACCCATGGCTGCAGAAGGGCCATTCCAGCCTTTCAGCCTCTTTGTCAAAATTAAACTTTTTACACACAATGTGGTTTGGTTCTATACAAGCTTTTCTTTCTTTATTTTGGTTGGTCATGGAGTATGAATTCAGTACCTGGGCTCTATCCTTGAGCTCTTTTGCTTAGGGTTAGCGCGCTACCACTTTGAACCACAGCTCCACTTCTGGTTCTCTTGTGGTTTATTAGAGAAAAGAGACTCACGGACTTTTCTGCTTAGTCTGTTTTGAACTGCGATCCTCAGATCTCAGCCTCCTGAGTAGCTAGTATTACAGGCATGAGGCACTGGTGCCTGCCAAGCCTAGTGGCCCTTCTATTGCTTGATTATGGGAAAGTTGTCCCACTGCTCTGTCACTCCTGTCTTAAGGCAGAAGGCAGGTTTGTAGGATCAGGGAGGGGGCTGGAGCTGGAACACAGAAGGACCATCTCTGTATTTATAGAAAACTTTTAATGTTCCCCAAGTGAGCAAGCTAAAACCCCCTACCAAGAAGTCTTTCTGCCATGTTTCAGCAGCCTACAGTGACAAGAAACTACATCTTTGCCTGTCAGAGGCTGAAGCCACTACCATCTCCTCGAATGCCACTCCCCCAGACAGAGCTGGTCTGCTCCTGGCCATTCAGGGAAGGCAGAGAGCTACCAATACCAGGAAGTAGGCAGCCAGGTTGCAGGTCCCAGCATGGAGACCCCTGAGACAGCCCATTAGAACAGGAAGGGTGGCGATTCTCCATGACCAGGTCACTGGTGTCATCATCACTGTCCGCCTCAGCAGGCCCAGGCCCTGTAGATGGTGGCCTTGTTAGACGCCCAGATGCCCCTCGCACCACATTATTGCGCTGGTTGGCAGGCTTGACAGTGACAATGAGGTTATGGCTGTTGGCGACCATCATGTCTGTTACTTGGTCCAAAGTCTTGCCAGCCACCTCAATGCCATTAACCTCGAGGATCTCATCACTGACTGCCAGTAGCCCTGTACTCTCAGCCAGGCCCCCACGTACCAGGCGGGAGATGAAGATGCCTGGGACCCGCTCCAGGCCCTGGGGAGCCACACGCATGCTCATGCCATCTCGGATATAGAAGCCCAGGGGGCGGTCTGAACCATGCTTGTGCAGTCGCACCCGTCGATGGGTTTCAGGCAGTAGGTCCACATCTATGACTGAAGAGACCTGGCGGAAATCTTGGGGCAAGCTGATTAGCAAGGGTGGCCGGGTGCGTAGGGATGCCACTGGCCGCAGCAGGAGCCCTTTCTTACGCCGTTGCAGGGAGTTGGATGCAAAAGCCAGGCCACTGGAGTCTGCTTCTGCAGTGAGGAGAATGCTGAGATCAGAGACTGTTGCCCCAGGGGGGCCCTTTACAGGGGTCAGCATTGCTATTTCCTGTCACTTGGAGGTCAGGCCAAGGGCAAGGACTGCAAAAAGTGCACCCTGGGGTGTGGATAATGCTGTAGACCTGCCCTGTCACCCTACCCCAAGCAAGCTCCACACTGTATCCCCCATTCTCACCCCGCTTCTGCACTAGTAGACGTAGTGGTGGGGGCCCGCTGGCCAGGGCCCGGTGCAGGCTGTCATCGTTGGTGAGGGGCAGCAAGTCACCATGAGCATCCGTATAACCAAGCAGCACGTCCAGGCCTGGGATCTGGTGTACCGCACGCAGCAACCTCGAGAACTCTTGGAAGCCACTCACCGAAGCGCGGGGCAGCGCAAAGCGTCGGAACTCAGCGTCAAACTGGAGATCCAGGGTTGGGGGAGACAGGGATTGTTTGGGCGAGAGAGAAGTCAGGACAGAGCCGGTGTCCCTTTCTCACCACTGGTCTGAGGGTGGCAGAGGTGGGAAAGAAAGGGCTGCTGCAAAAACTGCTGCAGCCTTAAGCCTAGACCTCAGCTTCAGTACAAGGGACGCTGTCCAAGGTCTTCCCCTCCTCCCCCCGCCCGCCCATACCCAAGCCACAGGAGACTGGAGACACGCAGTGGGGGAAGGAGAATGGAAGGAATGCTGCCAGAAAAACAGAATGGGACATAGAGGATGGAGGACAGAAAGAGGGATGGACACCAAGGAGCAGGGAAGGGAGGAAGAAGGAATTGGAAGCGCCGGGGGCCGGAGGAGCCCTTACTTTGCTCTTCACCTCGACGATGCTGTCGGGACTGCGTGCTGGAGTCCGCTGCGGCCTGGCCATGGTGGGGACGGGCGGGCGGGGGCCCGTGCCCCAGGCAGCCCGCCGAGGCGCAGGTGCACAGCCTCGCCGGCCCGCTCGCGCCGCCCCGCCCCTGGCGGTAGCACTCGCCCCGCCCTTCCACCTCGACCATGACGTCACGGGGTCCGCGACGCGGAGGAACGCGGAGTCCACGTTTCCTAGGAAACGGAGGTGGAGAAGAGTCTTCCTCTGCTCTTACGTCATTACGCTATAGTGCATGCGACCGGGAATCTGAGGGCGGAGGGGGACGACTCGGCCAATCGGAGGGTAGAATCAGGGAACTGTCAATTATGCGCCGTTAGCTGTTATTTCCACTGGCTTTACGAGACCGCGTATTCTGTAGATGGGGAACGTCAGAATTGTTCTGAATCCCTCGGAGTCACACGACACTGGCGTGGTTTCGCGCCAACGCTCAGCCGCAGATGCCTTCTTCGCAGATGCCTTTCCTTCTGGGCCAGGCCTTGGCCCTTCCTTCCAGATGCTGTAGGAGTCTTGAGCCACATCCCAGCAGCTGGGCTGCGGCTCTGAGACCTGACTCCAGCATACCGAGCAGAAACATGCATTTCAAGTGCTGACAGAAAGTCCTTCTGCGCACGCACGAGCGCGGTAGTGGGCGGGGCTTAGGCCTCAAGACCCGCCCAACCACACGCGCTTCCTCTTCCGACTGGAGGCGGAGCCGCGGCGTCCGCGGGAAACCCTGCTCGTCCGTCCCGCCTAGCCGCGGGAATGGCCAACTATGGGAGGCCGGTACTGCGGCCCTGGATTCGAGAGCTGATCCTGGGCTCAGAAACACTCTCAAGCCCACGACCCGGGCAGCTGCTCAAGGTGAGTCTCCACTCGGGGCCCTGAGACGGGACTGGGCAAGTGTAGTAGATTGACGCCAGTCACCGCCTTCAGGTACTTTGGGACTCAGAGACGCCGGGCCCATCCAGTGCCCCCGACTCCCCTGACACCGGAGCCATGCTGCTTGTATCTGACGGGGTCTGCAGCGTCAGATGTCTGGTGACGAGCGAGGCCCTGGACGCCTCAGACTGGTAAGAGAGGCGCCGCCGAACTCAACAGAAAGTTGAGCCTCGAGGTGGGCGGGCCCCGGAGAGTTAGGGAGGAGACTTGTGCTCCCCGCAGGTGGGGCTTGTGTTCAGTAGGGCCAAGCTATGAGGGTCATGTTCTCCGCCGTAGGGAGGAAAAGGAGTTCGGATTCTGCGGGAAAGAGGGCCAGCTGCTGCTGTTGAAGGCCTGTGAGGTCCGCATCCAGGTCGCTGAGGGCGACGTGGTGAGTGGTGAAACTGGCTAGGGTGAGTTTCTGTGCCCGGGTTTTTCGTGACAAACTGTAAGTCTCTCTCCCTCCTCAACTCCTCCAGCCTTCAGAGTTTTACCTCCAGGTGGACCGCTTCACCATGCTGCCCACAGATCAACCCCGTGTACAGGTGACAGATTGGTAAGTGATGTCCCCAACGACAGGTCTGTGAAGCTCAGTAGCAGCGCTCAGGGTTGCCATGTTTGAAGTACGGGTTCCATCCCCCACCCAGTCCTGGCTGGCTGTAGCATAGACCTTTGGATGAGAGGGCTTGGATCCTTAATAACACTGACTTCCTACCTCCTCTTCTCCACAGCAACCAGGACTCAGATGTACAGAAAAAGCTCTATGACTGCCTTGAGTGAGTCTGGGGTTGGGCTCTGAGTATGATTCAGTCAAAGAGTGCCAAATCTGGGTAGACAGGCTTCAGAATTGCGCCTGAGACTTGTCTACTCTGTTTTTATAGGGATCACCTTTCAGAGTCCACTTCTTCCAGTGCAGGTACTGGTCAGGGTTGCCCAGTGATCCTCAGTTTTTTAGTCTCACCTCTCCTACCATCCTGTGCGTCCCAGTGAACACTTCCCACACTTTCTTCTCTTTGGGCTTCAGTCCGATGCCTGGTCCCGTTCCCAGGCCTAACACTGTCTCAGCTTCTGGATGAAGTTCAAGAGGAACAGGAGCACCGGGGGGCGCTAGTACGCCTGGCTGAGAGCTGCCTGATGTTGAAAGGCCCTTGCACAGCGCCCCCTCTCACCCAGTGGGCTGCCTCCTACTGCAATGCAATGGTCAGTCAGTCTGGGGTTTTCTTTGGCAGGTGTCAGGGTGAGGAGTTAGATGAGGGCCAAGTTGAGAGTTCATGTCCTACAGGTAGAAGACATGTACACTGTCTCTGGTTTATTGCTGCACATTTCTGACAATGACCAACAAATTCTGAGATCTCTGGGTTCAAGCCGGAGGGCACAACAAGGTAAGAAAAAGGGCACAACAAGGTAAGGAAAAATAGAGAGGTCAGAAGGGATATTTGGAGTCCAGCGCCCCCACTGTTGAGCCTCTCTAGAGTCACTGGCCCCTGAGCTCTATAGAAATTGTTTATGCTCCTAATCTCCTGTCCTATGACCAGCTCTGTAGGAATTGTTTATGATCTTAATTCCTGTCCATCCTCACCCAGTGGATGAAGAGCTGGTGCTCAGACTATGAGTACTCACTGTCAGTCAGGTTCCTGGGCTACACAGTATGCTATGGAGTGGTATGGGAGTGAACATAGACCCTACCAACTCATATGAGCTCACAGGCCACTCAGCTGGTCTGGGCTGAGAGGGCTGTGCCCACAGTGAGTTCTCTTTTCTCTAGGAACCCCTACCTCACCCAGCCACATGCCACTGGAGGAAAGTGGTGCCAGCATCAGCCTTTTGCCTGCCCTGTCCTTGGTTACTCCAGAACTAGAGCAGGAAGACAGCTCCTCATCCCCACCAGCCAACTGCTCAGCCTCTAAAATCTTAACCCACAGCCCCCAACACCCCAGTTGTGTATCCGCTTCTTGTACTCCCACATTCTCACCCATTGGCCATGCCCCCAGTCAACACGGGGCCTCTGTTACCAAAGCCCAGAAGCTGGAGTTCAAAGAAGTAGAGTTGTCCCCCCAAAATGGGCAGCGTCTTCCAATGACCCCAGCCAAAGGCACCCAGGAGCCCTGCTCTGTCTGGGTGAGCATTTACTCTGCAATTGGAAGGGAGATAGGGTAGGGCTTTGGGTAGAGATGGGGCGAGGGGTGGGAGGGTGGAACACAGGCTTGGATGGAATTAGGGGTCCTTATTGGCTCCTCCAAATACCACCCCCATTCTAGGAGCCCCCAAAGAGACATCGTGATGGCTCTGCTTTCCAATATAAGTATGAGCCACCCTGTGCCTCCCTCCGTGCCCAAGTCCAAGCTGCCAGGTGTGTATCTAGGGCTGCCTATTTTGTTGATCATCAGCCTGGGGCAACCTTAATTCACAGACATGGTTTCTTTCCAGGCTCCCTCCTCAGCTTGTGGCCTGGGCTTTGCAGTACTTGATGGAACCACAGCCAGACACCGAGCTAACTCAGGTGTGAGAGCTCCTACGAGTACATGAGGTGACGCAGCCACACAGGTGTATGCTGAGGTGTGGACAGACAGTGCTCCCTGCGCTCTGTTTCCTTCAAATTTTTTAATAAAATAATCTCATGCGGCAGGAAAGGATCAGGGATTGGGGCCGCCGCCTCTTTGGTCTGTGGCTGGGGAGGGTGGGCTCCGCTCAGGGCTTGAGGGCTCTGTGGGCTGTGGGAGCAGAGGCTCGGTTCCAAGACCAGATCCTGTGAAGGGAGAAAGGAAGGGTCAGGGCTGTGCTGAGCAGTCCTGTTACCCTCCCAGCTGGCCCTGGCCCCTTCTTACCTAGGCTTGGGGATGGGGGTGCCTCAAGTTTCGGCCTGCGCTTGAGGACTGGGGAGCGCTGCAGCCGCAGGGGCCGTTCTGAGGGACACAAAAATGGTTGCTGACTGTCTAGACCCAGCCTTTTCCCCCACCTTCAAGCCATGTAAAAGCGTGCACATGCTTTTCCATACTCTGTCCTCCCACCCCTGGCAAAGGTTGCGTTTCATGAGGGAGAGTTAGAGCTAATAAGGAGAGCTTGCCAAACTCTTACACCCTGATTTCCTTAGTCTTCACGTCACTGTGGCCCCCTCCACCAGGAAGCACCAGGTAGGAAGCCCCAGAGCCCACCCTCCCCCATTTTCTGCACTCAAGCACACGTGGAGGTATCTCCCTCACCAGCAGGGGCCTGGAGCTGGTCCTCATGCACAGACACTGCTCGTCGCCCTGCTGAGAGAGGCCGTGGCCTCAACTGGCCATCTAGGGGAGGCCAGGGTATCAGGGTCTGAGCCCAACAGCTGCTTCCCCCCAGCCCTTGCCTCCCACCTTCAGGGTCCCCAGAGGAGCCGAGTTCCCAGCAGGGACACTTTTCCAGTCCTCAGCCCATGATTAGAATAGGAGAGAGGGGTGCCTGCCTACCTTCATTCCTGGAGCCCAAGCAAGGGTCCTCTGGGAGGCCCAGGATGTCTGGAGAGGGGCTGCCTCTTCGGGGGCTTGGGCTAGGACAAGGAGAAGGGGGACCTGGACCATCCTGTTGGCCCCAACCTCGGCCTCTGAGCTCTGCGTTCAGTTGCTGCCCCAGTGTCTTCCAGGTGGTAGACTCAGGCCCATGGCCCCCTGGGCCAGGTCTGCATGAGGAGTCTGCGGGAAGGAAGGTGTCGGTCACAATCTGAGCCCAGCCTAGACATGGGTCTGAGCAATGGTTTGACCCCTTCCTGGCCCATCCCTGCAACTCCCCAACACACGCAGTGGCTCTCACTCACCAGCAGACACAGAGTGAGTGCGAGACTTGATTGAGATGGGAGGAGTCTCCGTGGAACTGTCCATAATGTCACCTGCAAGGGGGGGCTGGGGGCTCAGGCACCAGACCTTAGGGATGAGGGCAAGAAAAACCTGACCTCCCCCAGGAGAACACGTGCCTTGGAGACTACCTCTAAGGACACTAGCTCCCCGTAAATGGACTCTTACCCATGGTCCCACTTACCATCTGAGCCAGCTTTCTTGATTTCACCATCTTTGCTCTGTAAGAAAAAAGGCAGTCAAACCCAGGTCCTGCTCCCTTCATTCTAGTCTTGTCCTTTTCTTTGGTCCTTTGGTGATACTGGGGTTTGGACTCAGGACCTCTCTGTTGCTAGGCAGGCATTCTTCCACTTGAGCCATGCCTCCAATGCCTTTTTGCCTTAGTCAGGGTCTTGCTTTATGTAGTGGACAGCCTGGTCTACTTGTGCTTTTCTGTCGATGGGGATGGCAGGTGCATGCCACTGTGCCCAGTCACTGTGCTTTTCTTATAGCTAGGATAACATGTGCACCACCTTGCCCAGCCATTGGTTTGAGTCTCCATTTTTTGCCTTTTTTTTTTTCCGCTGGTTGTGGGGTTTGAACTCTGGGCCTGGGCGCTGTCACTCAGCTCTTCAGCTTAAGGAATGCTCTACCACTTGAGCCATGGAGCCAGTTCTGGTTTTCTGGTGGTTAATTAGAGATAAGAGTCTCACAAACTTTCCTGACCAGACTGGCTTTTGAACCATGATCCTCAGATCTCAGCCTCCTGAGTAGCGAGGATTACAGGCGAGTCACCAGCACCTGGTTGAGTCTCCATTTTTTTTTTTTTTGGTCCAGTCGTGGAGCCTGAACTCTGGGCCTGGGCGCTGTCCCTCAGCTCTTCAGCTCAAGGCTAGTGCTCTACCACTTGAGCCACAGCGCCACTTCTGGCTTTTTTCTTTTTGCTTAGGTGGTGCTGAGGAATCGAACCCAGGGCCTCGTGCATGCAAGGCAAGCGCTCTACCACTGAGCCACCTTCCCAGACCTCAGCATCAAATATGTTCTGACATTACTTTCATGTCTGGTGATAGTCCTCATGAAGCTTATTGTCTAGTGAGAGAAAACAACTAGTAATAAATAAAGAGCTAAAAAATCCAAGAGAAGGGGGCTGGGAAGGTAGCTCAGTGGTAGAGCGCTTGCCTTGCATGCCTGAGGCCATGGGTTCTATTCCTCAACACCACATAAGCAAAAAGAAAAAAGCAGGAAGTGGCGCTGTGGCTCAAGTGGTAGAGCGCTAGTCTTGAGCTGAGGAGCTGAGGGACAGCGCCCAGGCCCAGAGTTCAGGCCCCACGACTGGACCCCCCCCCAAAAAAAAATAAAATAAAAAAGCCAAGAGAATAAATATATGTGCATTATTGTAATAAAAGCGTAGTTTATAAGAAAGGGTATCATTGAGTTATGAGCTAAAGGCAT